TTTATGCCTGACTTTACTTCTAAGTAGTTCAAAACTTCAAAATATAAAAAAAAATACATAGTAAAGCCAGTGACAATAAAGAACCCAAAAAGACAAACTTAAATCTGATGTCATAAAAATGTAATATTGTAGTGCGAAACGTAATTCATCGCACACGTCGACACATTATTATTATTGTCACCAACGGTTGCGTACTACTTGTTAAATGGTACTTTAATAGTATTTTATATATTTTTATGGAATTTTTGTATTTGAAAAAATTTACAACACTGGCTTTGTTTCTATTTTTTTTCTTTTAATTTGTGTATCGAATGATTTGCCTATAATATTAAGCTGTACAAATACGTACTTTAAATACTGTATAATTAATTATCTTGTTTAAATACTGATTTAATATAATGATAAATTATTATTGGGCAATGGGTACAAGATAACTATAGTTTAACTTAATTTATGAACTATAATACCTATATTTAATATAGATATATATATTAATAACACACCTATAAATATGACTTATGCGTGAAGAAAAACATTCTGCGATAATATGATATAATATACATATTAAAGACGTCCTCCATCTGTAGGTGCACTCGATAATGGGAGATAGTAAACAGAAATAATAACGTCTCAGAGAAGATAATCAGTAAAAAAAAAAAAAAAAAAATGATAACGAATTGTTTTGTCAATATGGCTAAACGGTAGTTTTGAAAAACAAAAGAAAACGATTAGTGTTGAAAATAAACGAATTAATCAGTCCAGAGATGAGTACAAAACAAAACAAATAGCTTTTCGTTTGAAAATTGTTTTCGGAAAAACAATAGTAAAAATAATTGCCGATGATCGGAGAACCCATATAGATCGGATGCGCATTTTAAAAGGAGAGACAATTCAATTACTCGTTTAACGACAGTTGAAACGTTACCCGTTGGCCGTTATATAGGTATAATACTGATTTCTGTGTGTGTGTGGATTGGCAGTTTAAAGTTTCATCGTCGGAAAACTGCCCGCCATGATTGATGACCGTTTGGTATTTGTTATTAGTTATTATTACCTATATAAAATATACTATGCCTATTATTAGTATTGCTATTATTACTGTTATTATTGTTATTGTAATTGATATCTTATGTCGACATCAACATCATCGACCGTCGTCTATCGATCTCTCCTCACTATCGACAGTTGATAGACGTGTTCATAACCATTCAACTTTTGTTGAACTATACCTTCCTATTACTGTGCACTGTGCAGTGCCGTAATTTTTGGTTTTGTTTGGTAACTCAAAAAAAATTTATAAATATATTTCAACTTACAAGCACGTCTAAACACAACTATTCCTCGAATGTGTGATGTATCATGTATACAATAAAATTAGAAGCACGCATATAAAGTATAAACCTTGAATTAGATATGTCAATGGCACAATATGACCAAACCGCGACATCATGAAGGAATACAAATTTAATATTTTAGCTCTCTCAGTCACTCCGTTTCTAAAATGGTATAGGTAATATAATATTATTTTATTACTAAAACACTATACCTATGCACTATGCCCCCTAAAATAACATGTTCAATATATTGTTATTCTAAACCTTCCTCAAATTGTCAAATACGGTAGAATATTTTTTGAATCCATTAGCCCCAGCATTATACACATTTTATACTTATAATATACATTATACGTGCATAATAATATCTGTTACCCGTTTCGTCTATTATAAAATTCTTACGACCGGTCCGGAATCCCAAATAATATCTTAACAAAATGTTGTGCCAATTGGTCAAAAACTGTAGATATTTACACGACCATCATTTAGATATAACCCGATTAATAATATCTGTATTAGTCTATCCGACTATTTATTTTATAATCTATGTATCTATAATTTCCATTTTGCTTCAGTTAAAAATATATTCTCAATTGTATTTTGTCAAAATCGGTCGTGTATTATTTAATATATAAACCTCAACCACACACTTAATACTTAATTTGAATAGGCAGCTTTATTAGCCGAAAAAATATAATACAATATAAAAATAATATCCAATATTATAATAGGTATAGCCTATATTATCATATGTTTCCAATAACAACCATATAAATAAACGAAAAAACATACGATTTTCGTGAGCTGAAACAAAATTCACTAGTGACTGTGTGAGCCATTCTTTAGTGACCTATAATATGTGTTGAAAAATGAAGGTACCCTCCTTGAGTATCAAGGAATCTATTGATGTAACTTTTTTGAAAACGATCTAGTAGTTTTTGAGTCTATATAGAGAAGGACCAAACACTAAACAAACATTAATTTATATACATTAGATACTCTATATTATTAAGAAGTAATTTATTAAAAAATATTGTATAATATTACAATATGCAAACAGTCAGTACAAGAATTTGGATTTTTGTATTATTTCTATAAATTATAATGCAATATAATATGTAGGTAAGTACCAAGGCTGGGCAAGTTAATGATTTTTTTGTAATCTGTTAAGTTAAGTTAATATGCACCAATAACAAAAAGTTAAAAGTTAAAAGTTAATTTAACTAAAGGTTAACTCAATTAAACTAAAAGTTAATACATACTTTTTGTTAACTTTTTATTAATACTATATTAATATTTTATTATATACTAATGTGGTGTGTTGTGATTAGATTATAAAAAAATAAAAATAGCTCATTATGGGGGGGGGGAGTTATAACTTATGAGTGAACTAGGTACCCTCTATTACAGTACTGTTCCTATAGAATTCATCAGCCCCTATTTTAAGAACAGTGATATTATTGGTAAATGGTTCATGACTTGAAACTTCATGTCCTCTTTGCTGACATCCCAGTTTAAAATAAACCGGTTTTGTAGGTTTTTAAAATATTTCTTTTATTGTATAGTTTGTAACACACAAATGTATTACATAATTTCAATAATAAAATCTCAGCATAAATAGACAAAAAACCAACCAATAATAACATGAAGTAAATGAAGCATCAAGTAGGTATGTGTATAATTAAATAATATATAACCTAAAATTTAATTTATTTTTCACAACATTTGTTAAAACATTACTACATTAGTTGTTACCTACTTGTAAGCTGTTTTTATTTTAAGTTGCGCCCATTTTTAGTTAAAAAGGATACCTACTAATTTAATTGAATCCCAAATAATTAAGTATACAAATATAATAATAATATAAAAAAACCCAATATATGTGTGCTGGTTAATTTCCAAAATAATTATAGAAATAATAATATGACATAGTTGTTCGAAATTTTAGTCGAAGTATCCTATAAAAGAATATAAATTGTAATAACAATTATATAATAATATGTACAATTTAAAGAATAATTTGTGTGTTTTTCCGAGTTCAATAAAATCCAACAAACATAAATCAATATTTAAAAAAAAATGATTCAATAATAATATTTGTAATGAGAATAATTTGTATTGTCATCATCGACGCTTATCGTTTCCGTGCCGCATGGTTTTAATTGTATGTATACAACAGTTGTAATATGAGTCAATACGCAATCGAACAAAATAATATAGATAATATTTTACTACGCCGCCATTCAAAGGCGACCGGTTTCGTACGCCGCCGGAAAAATTCCACAAAAATTCATGGTCCAGGTGAGGCTCGAACTCACAACCCCGGCATTGCTCACGACTACTGTCTTATAAGTACCGTGCGCTAACCGATTGCGCCACTGGACCCGCACGGCTTTTCGATGCAAAACAATGTGTTTTGACTGGCATCGTATTCCCGATACAACATAGCGGCAACAATTTTATAAGAATAATAACGCAGTTCTAGGTCTACGAATTACTGAGTGATGGGCGCGTTTTCATATGACGAGTGACGACAGCCATGATAATAATATTACCGACATAGTGGTATTATAGTGGTATTATAGAAGTATTATAGTAATATAGTGGTATACTGGTATTATAGTGAATACTTTTAATTCAGTGTTGGGCGGTGGACACCCTAATTACGTTATAATTACAATATAATATTTATTATACCATACACGTGGGAGTGGGAGGCATTTCGTAAAATAATGACCTTGAACAATAATATTGTTATAAATTATAATATCAATGAATCAACGTATAGGTTACCTACACGTTAAAACGTAAAAGAACAAACCATAATTCAACAAGTCGGAAAACCTACAAAAAGTGTTTTTAATCACCTACATACGAAGCTCATTTTGATAATTACAAATATATTTTATGTCAAGTTGAATACCTATCTACCTAATTTAATTTTGCTTTTTTTATGTTTATTGCAATTGTTATTTTTATAACCGACTGATCACAGATTTTATTACCGGCAGAATTCTTCCGGTTAAGTGTCGGTTAACTTTAACCGGACATCGTAAGAACGGCCCTTAAGGAACTAATAAGGCACTTATCATTTATTAGTACTATAATAAATATATATATGTATATCACATTTAATTATTACATATCATATTTTCATTTACATAATTACAATCCAATTGAATCACGAATATAAAGAAGTTGTTAGTTCAGTTAGTTGTTACAGATATGGAATTAAAATTAAATCCACCTAGCTTCAATCTCTCGTTCTTTAAATTCGTGATTCAAACGCCTCTTATCAGTCTTATCGCACGTGTGATAAATGATAACTAGTGTTAAGTGATGTCCATTGTCCAAGGTGATCACGCCTTTTACACTAATATTATAATTTATAGGTAATAGACCGTGGAATATTTTTTTCTAGTTTTTTTTAGATTCTGAGCGGATTGATGAGTCCATTGATTTTACAATGATGCGTATTAAAAACAAAAAACTGTCTATCATCTCCTTAAGGGACAGAAAAAATGCCACCACACCAGTAAATAAACTTATATAGTTATATGTACTTTCCCATGGTACAAAACCTCAGTATATTTTATTGAGATTTGGTGCATATCAAAAAACGCTTCCAGAACTAGGCAGCCGATAAAATCTCCAAACGAAAATTTCTCACTTCCAATTCCTCGGCCGCATTGACGTCCACCGTCTCATCATGGTGCACAACTGTCGACGCCGGTGACATCCCACTTCCAACCACCGCAACCATATATTATGATATATATCTTGTTCGGAATCATCGTCGGGTTCCGAAGATAATGGCGCGTCAACGCCAGCGAGAACCGTATCCATTTTTCTCAACAAGTTGACCATACATTCATACTGTTGATATTTTCTATGTTCAGGCCTCACTGAATGGGATATTTTGTATTTTCTAAGGTCACTTTTATACTTATAGCGTTCTGTTATTACGTGTTTAACTGTTAGGTTATAGGTTAGCACCGCAGGGCATACACTGAGAAATTCTTCTATTTGTTGTAAATCAAAAACCATTAACCGTAATTGAGTTGATACTTTAAATTTTCTCCTAATGTTTTTATTGGCATCTTCTACACATGGTATAATTTTTAATATATATTATTGACATTGTTTAGCTATTTATAGACATTTTAAATGTTCGACTTTTTCTCATTAAATGTCAATAAGCGCATTTTCACTTGGTCAAAATGCTTGAAAATTCAATACAAGGTTCCTCATATTTATTTATATACTTATAAAATAAGAATTATTTGTAATATAATATAGTTGTTTATATCGTATATTATGTTGTACCTATAATCTGAATGTAATAATTAACAACTGACAATAACATTTGTATTACCTTAATCCTATTTGAATATACGTTTTTTGTGGGATATCGATATTTTCGTGTCGAAGGTTGTATAAAAATGTACATTTTTTGTATTCATTAAATCGTTTTTATAAACAAAGTTATTATATTATTGCCTGTTTTTCGAACAGCTAAAGTGTACTCATTTCAATGGTATATATATTTTTTTTTAGTATATATTATTCAACTTAACATTTTTTGAAAATGTAAAAGAGCTGTAACTTGCTGCACTTGTCTATTATTATAGTGTTATGGCACTACTTCGCTCATCAATTCACTACTCCCACTTATTGACCACCTAAATGAGTCGTAGTCGTTCTCTGTTATTAACAAAGTTAAAATAAAATGCAGTTTTCCCATTATTACAATTTGCCATTGCCACAGTCGTCGTTGTAAAAATTACTGAAAGTACCTTCAAGTACCTATATAACTGTACATTTGTACTCTACAAATCGATCGTCAGTTCTTGACTGCGGACACACTATTCAATATAATTTGCCGATAAGACTACCGGCATAATCGAGTTATGAAAAAAGTAAAAATTTAAAACTGGACGCACACGAGTGATATCCCCAAAATTTTTTCTAAAACTCTATACACGTCAAATTGCAATTATTAGTTAATGGTGAATTAGTAATTAATTATGGTGCTTGATCTTTAAACTTCAGACTTTTTTAATCATTTCTGTTCTCGGGCCTAATACTTATCTAAATGTATTCCATATAATACAACATGTAAATAGATAAATTGATAAAAGGTAAATTTAAAATATCTAATAACAAATATTTTTTAGTGTGGTAAATTGTCTAAATAGAAATTGGCTTTCGAACAAATATAATTCGACAAAGAAATTTGTTATTCCTCTGATCACAGAATGTGATAATATTATTATTAAATATTATATAATAATAATAAAATATTATATATTCCCACAATTATATAATCGCAATAGCCAAATCAACATTTTTAAAAACGTTTATAAGTTATAACTTATAACCATAGAAAACAGCGTATAAGAAAAAAGAAAATAACTCCAGTTGGTAGGTACCTAAAATGTATTATAATATTATATACTTGATAAATTGTATGTATTTGTTGGCCATGGTATAAAACATTTCTTTTATTATTCAAAGTTTAACGGATATCAGTCAAACTCTGCAACTGGCGTGCAAAAACATATCAATTTTCACCACTCAATTTACAAAAAAAAAACATGATGTAAGTACTAAAATATTTATTATAGATGCATAATACCTCCATATTACTATAATACCTAGGTAATTGATACTTTTAATACTGGTTTTATCGTTAACTGAATCGCAGTTATTGTTAATTTGGTAAGCGTTTAAGGTTTATAGATGTATACAATAATATTGAACATGAATAAATGATAATATTACAATCAAACGAATACATATTGTCGTAAACAATAATTTGAACCATTTAGAGATTTAGACGATTTATTTCATCAAAAAATTTTGAATTTGAATGATGTAGGTAATATTATGCTTCTAGTTATAAATAATAGTAGATATAGCATGGTAAGCTAAGTTACTTCTGCGTCTATAAAAGCAATGATCGAAGAATAACCGCTATTTTGAATACTTGTATCAAGTAAAATTAAGTTATCAATTCTTCAGTCAAATGTTTAAAGTAAAATGATATAGATATGTGAATAGTTAAAATTTTACATTTTCTAGAAAAATTAAGCTAACCAGAACAATTATTTATATATATGAGATCTGGCATTATCTGCTAATGATGAAGAAAAAATAAAAATTCCAAGAAGGTATTCATCAAAAAATTGAACTAATGTGGATACTAAAATTATGATACATAATTTAATACTATATAAAAGTATAAAACACAATAAAAAAAATTTCAAGACACAAGACAATGTTATCCTCTTTGTATTTATTAATACTTAAAATGTAGCTAACTAACTAAAAACTAACTGGCCTAGCTCTACTAAAGTAATAAATGTTCATAGAGATGTAACGGTTAATCCCGAAGTAGCTTGAATAATAAATCATGCCTTTGTGTTATTTTTAAAAAAATTTCATAAACTAAATTCAGTATTGCCGTATTGACCGAAATAATGCAATACATAATCCTCCGCTCGGCAAAAAAAAATACAGATACAGACTAGTCTCAAGTCTGTTATAAAACGAAAAATGTGGTTTATATTTTATTGAACGGTGATGACTGATGTAAACTCCCGCAAAACAATGTTTATATAATTATTATATAGTTTTATAATATTATTGCATTATGCAACTACCACTAATATTATTGGCACGGGATCATTTATAAATTATACTTTGTAAATGTATTTATGTGTATAATATTAATTGCCAATTAAAACTCTTCAAAACCGGATGTGATTACTTATTAGTTATTAGTTATTAGATTGAAACAAATTGTCGGTTAGTTCATGAGAGTGAATGCAATATAATATACACTTTCATCAATATAATATTTTATTTTATCACCTATAATTTAATTTGTATCAATTTGTACTTATTATTTATAATAATTCTAAGACTAAACGTAATGTTAAGTTCGTTCATAGTCCATATAGTTTATAAATTATTATCTTTGATTATACTATTCTATTATATTATTATAATACATATTATCAATCTTATAGTTCGAATTAAAATGTATCATTACATAATAAGATTATAAACAGCTGAGAAGAGATTACTGTCACTATAATTATTATTTTAATGATAATAAATGGTCACCGTTAAGCCTTATTAATTAATAAGTGACGACAAACGTTCCTCTTATCATATATTCATATTTAGTGAAAATAAATATTGTTCGTGACTTTTTTACAAGCGTAAAATAAATACAAATCAGCGGACAAGTATACAATATAAATTATAATTGACACAATATCAAATATTACTTTTAAAATGTTAAATTAGGTTTATTTTTGATATTTTGTCGAATAGAATTCTTTTTCAGTGCTATATCATAAGCGTAATTATAGGAATATTAGAATATATTAATATAACAATAATTACTAAAACTAGTTGGCTGTAATTAATCATTGTTCCATAGTATAATATTTTATACACAAGAACTATAAACGTATATTTTGTATACCTATATTATTCAATTTGTTCTACAACTGCTATAATTCATTAGTGTATACAATTACGAATTATAAAAAACATTTTCATTTATAATGTTATTACAAACCTTTTAAGTCTATGAAATAAAATCAATATCTAATAATAAACTACTGAGAATTTATTTATTTCACTTCTGTCCCATCTTTTATTGTATATCCATTATAATTTGTATAATGCATAGACTATATTACTATAATACAATTCATAATATAATATGTAAGCCTACAATTTCACTGCAGAATGCATGATACATAAAATATTCAATCTGACCAATGAAAATGAAAATAATAAAAATGAACAACCACTCTATAACTATTACAACGGAGACCCGACGTGCCCGCCTGCCACCACATCATTATTATCACCGTCAAAATATCATAATATTTAACTTCACTTTATTATTTATCGCTGGACGAGACCACGGTCGCTCGGATTATACTTGATAGTATCGTGTCGTTTACCAGAGACTTCTGCCATACCTACCCACACCCTCCTCTCGAACGCGTTCAATCATTCTCGACCATTTGTTTTTGTTTTTTCTATTGTTCCACCCCTCACCCGCCACCGAAGCCAAAACCAACCCGTCGGCCTTATACACCCCCCCCCCTCACCAACTCCAACGCTCGCGCCGGAGCGAAGATTACTCGACCCTCGTCAAGCGGCGTGGACCGTTTAATGTTATTGGTATACACGCCGGAAGTTTTATTGTTGTATGCTCAAACGTGAGTTTTTGCCCTTTCCGGTTTGATTTACCGCACGTATATCGCCTGCCTCGGATAATTGTATGTATCGTGCCACGTATGCATATATATATATATATATTATATTATTATCGCATGTCCGCGCGGCGATATTATTGTTTGTCGCGGGCGCGATCGGTTTGGGGTGGAAAATGGTGAAAAAAAATTATCGAATCGACGTTTTTCCGCCACTGTGTAAAAAATGACACTTGCGGACATCCCCGCGTGTCCGTCCGTCCGTCCATCCTCATCGCGACGCGTATAATATTATAATAATATGGCACCACCGCTGCAGCTATATATTACAATTTATAATATTATAATACAATACGGAGGTTTCGCGTTGTTGTTAACGGCGAATGTTAACCGAGAAAACAATATTATAATATTATATTATATAATTTATATGTTTGGTAGCGGTGACGGCCGGGTGGGAACGAAAAATGTGTCACGGTGTTTAATAGCTACCACGGGACCTGCAATAATAATAATAATAATATAACAGCTCTGGCGAGCTTATGCGGATACCATACTACACTGTATAATTATGTATATACATATTATATATTATACCGTTGTTGAGATACGTTCGAAAACAAAATGTATACATAATAATTAATATTATAATATAATATTGTTATGCACACATTGTATACATGCAGGTGCTGTGTCTACTGCCTGCAGACCGCCATTGACTCGATATCCAGGACGGCGAGGAGGACGATGTGATGTGCACAGTTTGTGTAATTTGTGCGGTCGCGTTGTAATTATTGTCACAAC